GGCTAGGGTGAAGATGGCGCCCCATCCGCTCCCTGGGCTTGCTTAGGGGCCCTTGCTTTTTGTGGGCACCTACCTCTTAGCAGGTACCGTTGCCTGATATTTGCACCCATGGGCCTAAGAGGTCCCCTGGAAATGGCCGAACCCAGCCTGTGCCTGGCTGGCCCACCATGTGGACAGAGCTACTCTGTCCAGCACCCCACTCCTATGAAGACCCTCCATAAGTCTGCGACTCATGAGCCTCCAGTGGGGCCTGGACCCAATGTGAGTGGAGAGGCTGGGACCTTTGCCTCGGGAGCTCCCTCCCTATGATGTTATGCCCTGTTCCAGTAGGGAAACTGAGGCTCAGAGAGGCCCGACCTGAGTTGGAACCCATGCCTGGCTCTGAGGCAGCCACTCTGCATCCCTTCTCTGCCTTTGCATCGCCTATAGTGGGAGGGGATGGCTCATTATTTTTAATCAAATGTTATGAGTTGGAAGGAGGAGCAAGCTCCCTCAGCCCCCCTTCTGGCTCACCCCACCGTCTACACGCTGGGGCTGGAAAGAAGGGTGGGAACAGGAAGGTCCAGGCCGAGACTATAGGCCACTCCCTACGGGCAGGCCCTTCCTGATGGCTTCTAGACAATTCTTCATTGTTGGCCTCCATGCAAAGCAGCTTCCGTGCTCACCAAGTATGAAAATTAGGGTTACCAGGCACTGCTGTGGCTGCCCCAATCCTGCCATCTGGGTGTCTGCACTATAAATAGCTTTGGGCCTCATCTTCAAGAAGTGAAAGCTGCCCTCCTAGAAGAGACACCAGGATAGATGTAAGAGAGAAGACAGCTGCCTGGGGAGTCCCAGGGGTCCTAGGGCAAAGACCGAGGGCTCTAGGGAGAGAGGGGACGGTCAGAGGAGTGAGGGTGCGGGGGCTCAGGCAGGGGTGCCATGTTGGTGTGGGACATGTCACAGTGCTGCAGGTTGCGGCTGGCAGCCTCAGAGCCATCAGGCAGCAGGAGGGAATTTACAGGCTTGCACATAAAGAGAAAGAAGAAATGAAACCTGTGATTCTCCCCAATGGCCAAGTTCCCAACAGGGCTCAGGATGGAGCCTGGGAGGGCTCCCAAGTGAAGGCCTCCCTGAGGACCAGGGCCCAGGGGTCACCCCTGAGACTTGGAATTTCACTCTCAGCAACCCTGCGTCCTTCATGCATGCTCCACTTGGCACAGACCCTCTGACTGGAAAGTGAAGTGAGCACGTGCAACGGGACCTGCACAAGCTTCTAAGGAAATAAGAGGAGCAAGATGACTAGACGACACATCCACACCATGGCACCCTCTATGGAAGCTGGGGTCCCAGTTCGCACAGACTGGGCTACGGCGAGCCACTCACGGGCCACTGACTCCTCACAGAGCAGCTGGGAGTCAGCCTGGATTTCTTCCCAGCAGGTGGCACAGACGCCTCCGGGTGCAGCTGATGGGCCAGGGCCAGTCTCACCCTAAGACAGCATTCCTGCCACACACACACACCCTCCCCACCGAAGCCCCAGGCTCCCTACCCACTAACTGTCCCTGGGAGACTCCCGCTTCCCACCTGACCGGGGGCAGTGCCCCTGCAGCTGGAGGAGGGGGCTGCTCTCTCTCCCTCACTTGAGGAGGGACTGTGCTCCTGCTTTGCCAGGCCAGGAAGCCAGCTAAGGCTCCATTAGGGCTTCTGGCCTCAGATGTCCTCCCAGGGGAATGGAGGCCACAGGGCAGCAGGGAGAGGATGGCCCAGAGGTGGGCAGGTGCCTGGGTCCGGTGGCCACAGGCGGCTGGGAGTGCCAGGCAGACCACCGGCTCTGGGTTCACAAAGCTGGAGCACCCAGAGGGAGACCTTGTTCCTTGTGCTGAGACGGCAGTGGAGTACAGCGCCATGGGGACCGTCTGTTAGGTGGAAGCCAAGGACCGGCCTCCTCAGGAGAGGCTCAGCCAGCCGCAGTGATATCTCCACACTGGAAGTTTTCCCTGCGGTTCCCAGAACGTGGGACCCACCTTTTGGCCATGAAATTCCAGGTGTCACACAGCCCTGGACTCTCTGAGGATCTGGCCACCGCTGACAGATTCCAGACACCATGGCTCCGTTGTCGGGGTGTCAGTTCAAGCCTCCCTTGCACCTCAACATCTGAGTCACTGAGGCACAGCTCCTCTTTCTGATCCAGATGCACTGGTAAGGCCCGAAGCCTTCCAGAGAAAGAACTGCCACCCGCCAGGCAGGAGCCCTGGAGCAGAGCTGTGGTCGTGGTGGACGGCTGACAGGCACTGTCACCCCCGCTCATGGGACTGAGGGGAAGCGGGGTCACAGATGAGGTGGGAGCGCCCTCTATTCCTTGGCTGCTGTGGGTGTCAGCATCGCTGGAACCAGGGGAAGCCTCCCAGGCTGATGGATGAAAGTGGGGCGTTTAATTCTTATCATATGCGTGCGCCAGCCAAAGGTGGGGAGCCAGGCTAACATCTAAAATAAGGTTTCACGTGTTGATATACATGTGTGTGATCTGTAGGATCCTAGGTTGACCGTTGTCTGTTTATGTCAGAGATCCATAGATTTTAGTTCAGGCAAAACTTGACCGTGGGCTCAGAGCTGTTGGGCCTGTGCGCCACTTGTGTTGCAATGCATCATTTCCTTTTATTTTAACCCTCACCCGAGAAGAGAGAGTGGAGGGGGGAGAGAGAGAGAAACATCAATGTGAAAGACACATCCATTGGTTGCCTCCCACATGCACCCCAACCAGGGCTGGGGATCCAACCTGCAACCCAGGTATGTGCCCTTGACTGGGAATCAAACCCAAGACCCTCTGGTGTGCGGTCTGACACTCACCACTGAGCCACACCAACCAGGGTGCAGTGACTTTGTTTTCAAACAGAAGTTCTCTGTTTTTTCTTGGCCATTCCTGGTGATAAAAGGTAGCAATGTGGCCTCCTAAACACGGCTGAAGACCTGAGCCTCCCACTGCCCAAGTGTGCCAAGCCCAGAACCGACGGGCAGGGGTAAAGGGGGGCGGAGCAGTGGAGAGGGTGGCTGTGGGTAGGCGTTTGATGGCAACCAGATCTTGGTCTTCGGTTTGCAGATCACTTACTAGAAATAAGCACCCACGAGTAATTTCCGGGGGTACAATACTGACCCTCCATCCCCCATAGGTCGCTGAGCAGCCCCTGAGCACTGCGGGCCCCTGGGCCTGGCTGGGCTCCTTCCCTCAGGAGTTTGCTCCAGCCCCAGAATGAGGTCCAGTGCCCTGTGGTTTGTGTGTGCACATGTGCAAATGGTTGTGTGCTCATGTGCACATGTTGGTGCATGCATGCATGTGTGTGTGTACCTGCACCAAGAAAAAAGACATAGAGTGGCTTCTGAGCCTTGGAATTTTAAGTAGCATCATGCCTTTTCTGTATTTCTCCATATTTCAGTTGCCGGTGGGTGTCAGGGAATCCTAGCCAAGGGCTCCAGCCGGTCACTCCACGCTGTCCCACTGCACCCTGAGTGCTCGCCTCCAGCGTGTGTGCTGCGTGTCACCTGAGAGGCCTCTGGCTTGGGCAGTGGTGTGAGGTGCATCCCTCCCGGGAGCTCTAACAGCCTTGAGGCCTTCTGCTCTCTCGTGACTGAGCCTGGCCTGCCGGCTTTGCAGGGGCAGTGGCACTATAAATAAAACATCCCCAGGGAGTGGCCGGTGGAAGTTTTGCTCTCTACCCACAGCCTTGAGCTACAGCCACGGACAGCCTGGCAGCACTAGTTTCCAAAGTAAACGGCTGGCCGCGTGTACATGCCGCTCAGCCAGCCCGGGCCTTCCCACGAAATGCCTGCGAGGACGGCTGTGACGCAGGTACATGGCTCTGAAGCCAGGCAGCGTGACCAGTGCTGTTTACTACGGGCCGGCTGTGTGGCCTTGGGCACATTGCTGACCCTGCTGGCCACTTCCCTTACCTGTAAGGTGGGCCGTGGCCAGGTGCACAAGCGACACCCACACAGCCTGGGAGCGCGTGATGTCGCCGTGAGGTGCAGCGGGGCTCTTCACAGTTTATTGTGCTACCGACCCAGCGGCATTCGCACCCACGCCTGGCCCTGCAGGAGGCCAGAGAGGAGCCTGGAGTGAGGCTTAAGTTATTAGCTAAGCAGGTGAGACCTTTCAGTTGCTCAGAGGAGCATGGCAGTGGCTGCGTGAGATGGCTGTGCAGGAGGGCCCGGGCCGGCAGAGGTCATGGCGGGAGGACTCTGCAGCTCACCCTCCAGGCTGTGGGGCCGCTGTGCTGCTGCAGGAAGGGCTGCGGGAGGCTGGGGGGCTGGTGCTGCCCAATCTCTCTTCATGCAAAACCTACCTCCCAGACTTGGGTGAGGTTCCACCTGGGTCCCCGCTCCCGTCACCCTGCAGGGTTCCCGGTTTGTCAGCAAGGACATCAGGGGCCAGGGGTCCATGCCCTGCCGTCTCCCCTTCCTCACTTCCCATGCCTCCCAAACTCTGGACTTAGGTGAATTTCTTGTTCACACTAAAGGCACAGAAAGCTAGCAGGGAGAGTTTAAGGAGAGCGAGGGCTGAGCTTGAAGCTCAGCATGGGAGGCTCTTGGGTGCCAGCAGCTGCAAATGCCAGAGCTCATAGCTGAGCTGGAAAAGTGCAGCCAGGCTGGTCCAGGGGCTCCTTGGGCGCCCAGCAGCCCTGCTGTGTCATCTCCACGCTGAGGCCTCAGTTAGGCAGGTGCTGCCCTACGACCAGGCCAGGCAGGTGCCCGGCCACCAGCCCAGCCGTGGCCAAGATGTGCTACCTGCATGCGGGTCCAGGTGGGGCCCTGGATTTGGGGAGAGGGCTGGTCTGGGAGGGTCGCCCCACCAGACCAGGTACCAACCAGGCAGGTAGAGCTGTCCGCGCCCCAGGGGACAGGTGTGCGGGATGTTCCTGAGGTGTTACCGTGTTTGTGGGTGGGCCCAAGTTTGCTCAGCAGAACTTATTCTCACAGAACAGACCGGCCACTGGAGCACTGGCCCTCCCACTGCCTGAGCTGAGATGCCCCAGCACGGAATGGGGGACAAGCCCTTCCCCTCCACGCCGCAGCTGGTCTTCCCCAGCCCGCCCTCGGCCCTGGATGACGGGTATGGCCGCGTCCCCCCCAGTAGGCGGGGGTCTCTGGGCTCACCCCTGAGCCTGGGCGCCCTGTGCGCCACCACCCACAGCCCCCTGGACTCCTGCAGCCAGCCGCTGTGTGAGCCAAGGGCCCAGAAGCACAGCCCCCGGACGGCCCACGCGTCGTGCTACTCGTCTGGGCCCCGGAGCTCGGAGTGCGGGTGGGGAGCCTTTGCCCCCGAATGCCTGCAGGCCCTCAACACTCCGCGGGCCTTCCTGGTCTTCCTGTGCGCGGCCTCCTTCCTGCAGGGCATGACCGTGAATGGCTTCATCAACACGGTCATCACCTCCATCGAGCGGCGCTACGACCTGCGCAGCTACCAAAGCGGCCTCATCGCCAGTGCCTACGACCTGGCCGCCTGCCTCTGCCTCGCCTTTGTCGGCTACTTCGGGGGCATCGGGCACAAGCCCCGCTGGCTGGGCTGGGGCGTGCTGGTCATGGGGGCCGGCTCCCTGGTGTTCGCGCTGCCCCACTTCACCGCCGGCCCCTACGAGGTGGAGGTGGACGAGGGCCTCGGGACGTGCCCGGCCAACCGCAGCGTGGCGTGCCGGGGCCGCGCCTCCAGCCTGTCCGGCTACCGGCTGGTCTTCGTGCTGGGCCAGTTCCTGCACGGCGCGGGTGCCACGCCGCTCTACACACTGGGTGTCACCTTCCTGGACGAAAACGTCAAGTCCAGCTACTCACCGGTCTACATCGGTGAGTGGGGCCGGCGGGCCGGGGGCATGGGGGCACCTGCTCGGCGCCCAGCCGCTTTTGTGATTTTCCTGTCGACCACGCATGGGCCCAGTGCTCCTAGGTGAGGGGAGAGTCCCGGTGGCATGTGCCGTTGGTTTTGAGAGAAAAATTTTAAAATCCCTTTAAAAAGTTGTCCCCGGCCAGATTTCAGACACAGAGGCTGCAGAGGTGAAGACCCTGATTTAAGGGGGTGTCCCCGGGTAGAGGGTAGACAGGTGCGGGTGTGGGGCAGGGCCTCCCCCAGGTGGCCCGTGTGGCTTCTGAGTGCCACCACGCCCCCCAGCCGCCCACCGGCCCTGCTTGCCTTGCAGCCATCTTCTACACGGCGGCCATCCTCGGCCCCGCGGCGGGCTACCTGATCGGAGGCGCCCTGCTGAACATCTACACGGAAATTGGCCGGCGGTGAGTGAGCGGGCTTCTCTCCTCGTGGCACAGAAAGTGCCACACTGTCCACGCAAGAAGGCTCCGTTCCCCCAGGGCGGGGTGTGAGGTGGAGCGTCTGTGGGTTGAGGTCGTTTTCTGTGGGTTTTTTCACACCAGACAATTCCCCGGCCACCAGCTGGGTGTCCCAAATCCAACTGGGTGCTGACACTTACTCCCCGGCATCCACACAGAGCCACAGGTTAAGGGCTCAGTCTCACAAGACCACCCCAGAAAAGACGCCATGTTACCCACAGTTCTGTTCAACGGGCACAACTCGGGGGTTCCTACAGCCTCTCCTCGTCTCAGTAATTTGCGTGAGTGGCTCGCAGACCTCGGGAGGGCCCATTACCCACTAGAGGAAGCAGCTCCGGAACAGGGAGATGGTAGAGAGCGTGGGGTGTGGGGTGGAAGGGGTGGAGCTCTGTGCCCCCTCTGTGCCAACCTCCCAGCTCCTCCAGGTGCAGCCCCAGGAACTGCTGGGCTCCCTTCTGTCGGGTTTTTGTGGCCTCACTTCGTAGGCATGGTTGGTTAACTCATTGGCCATTGATGGTCAACAACCTCCTGGCTAAAAGTTCCAACTCGCTAACCTCATGGCTGGTCTTTCTGGTGACCAGCCCCCCTCAGAAGCTCTCGAGGGACCCACCAAGAGTGGCCACATTCAAACAAAAGTCACTGCTGTCACCCAGGAAATTGCAAAGAATTAACGGGCTCTGTGCCAGGAACCGGATCAGAGCCCAGATCTGTACTTGTTACATCAAAGTGTTTTTCTTCTGTTCCTTGTATATTTGTTCATGATACTAGTTTTTGTAAATTTGAGCAGGAGAGAGACAGAGACAGCGATTAAGACAGAGAGAGACAGAGAGACAAGAGGGAGGGGAGAAGGAAGGGCGTTCCAATCTCACGGGCTCTGGCCGTGGCCTTGCCTCCATGGCAGTCACCCGTCTGTGCGGTTTTCCTGTCGCCTTCTGAGAAGCACAGCGGGCACCGCTGGCTACCCCTTGGACTCTCTCTGCAGATGGTGCGCCTCTCGTCAAGGTTTCTAGTGCTCTACCTGGTACAAATGCCACCTGTGGCCTCAGGTTGACTAAATTGGGTGTCAAATGTGCACGTTCTGTGCAGTGCAGGAGGTAGGTGGGGCCGTGTCCCTCACTCTCTACACCCTCCCGCTGGACTGCAAGGGCCAGCAAGCCAAGGGACGCCAGCTCAGGTGTCCTGGATTCTGACCTCACTGTCCTTTCCCACAGGACCGAGCTGACCACTGAGAGCCCGCTGTGGGTCGGTGCCTGGTGGGTGGGCTTCCTGGGTGTTGGGGCCGCTGCCTTCCTTACTGCGGTCCCCATCCTCGGCTACCCACGGCAGCTGCCAGGTGGGTGTACACCCCCCCCCAGGGTGCGAGCCCCTCTTGGGCCTGTGGGCTGCTGAGAAGCACAGGAGAGTCCAGATGTTCGTGTGCAGCAGGTCGTCCACCCGGCAGGGCGGGGCTGGCCAGCCGTGCATCCCCTCCCCCCGGGGCCACGGAAGAGGCTTGCCTCAGTGGGGTGTGGGCAGCACCCTTTCTTTCCCCTCTGGTCCCAGGTTGTGCTGCTGGCTCGGTCTGACCCCTGTCACCATGGGTCATCCCTGCGCCCTCTGTCCCACAGTGGTCCCCATCCTACAGGGGCGGGCCTCCAGGCGAGCCTTGGGTCCCTGCCTCTCACTGATGTCTGTGTCCCTCCAGGCTCCCAGCGTTACGTGGCCATGAGAGCCTCTGAAACATACCAGCTGAAGAAGAGCGGCGGCACGGCAGCCAGCGGCCCTGACTTCGGGAAAACCATCAGAGACCTGCCTCTGTAAGGAACTTGGGGGGGGGGTCACCCGCCACATGCCTCTCTATGCCCGTGTGTCCTGAAGACCCTCTGGGGGTCTCACACACACTAAGTCTCGGCCTCAAACTAGAAGTGTCCAAGTGACGCTCCGGGCCACATGGCGAGCGCACAGCTCCTAAGCCCCCTCCATGACCTCTGGCCCCTAGGGACACACAACTGACCCTCAGGCCATTCCCCACAAGTTGCCCCTAACTGGGCTCAGGCCCTCAGTCTGTTGCATCCCCCAACCATTTCAATAGGTGCCCCCTGCACACAGCCACAGGCGCCGGGCTGGTGCCGCCCTTCCTGCCTCGGGGTCTCAGGGACGGTCCCCCCATGCCCTCGAAGCGCTGCCCCTGCCCCTCCCCCCAGCCATGTGCGCATCTTGTCCACTGTCCCCCCTCTCCCTGTGGGGGACGTGGTCTTGCTTGGTTACCCTCATTCACAAACAGAGCCCTGGGCTGCTGGCTTCTCAGCCGGACATGCGGCCTGGGGCTCCTGGCTGCCTGGTGCCCCTCTTCACAGGACTGGGCCTTCCACGGGGCTCTCTCCCAGCTCGAGTGCTTGGCCTCACCCAG